CGACAATATCTAATCCCCCCCGCCCCCAACCCCAGGCTCCCGGGGCCCAGCGGTCTGCCAATAGCCTGAGGAGGTAAGGACCGGCTATCCGACTCGCTGACTCCGCTACTCCGTAATTTCCAGCTCCCCTCCCTCCTCCCCTCCCGCCGCCCCGGTCAACCACGCACTGGGCGCCCAGCTTGCCCCGGTCCCCTCGCAGGTACGTAAGGCTCCGACTTGAGCTCGAGCTTCCCCCAGGCTCCCTCCCTTCAGGATGCCTGGCGGGGCGGCGCCGGGGGCTGCGGGGAGAGGAGGAGGAGAAAGAGGAGGAAGAGGAGAAACAGAAGGAGGTGAAGGGTAGAAGGAGAAGGGAGAAGTGCGGAGCCAGCTCGGGCCGCAGCTGGACTAGGCTGAGCTCTCCGGGATTGGAGCTACAGGAGAGAGGCCAACAAGGCGGGCGCCTGGTCCCTAGGCATCCCGGGCCCAGGGGGTGGGGTGGGAGGAGGGGGGAATAGCCTGGTCACCCGATTCTTTTGCACCTGGGTTGGGGGCAGCCGAGCCGGCGCGTGGCCCCTGGACAGGTACGCTCCGGAGCTGGGAAAGGCGCAGATTTGTTGTCCTTGACTGGGGGAGGGGCGGCGGCGCAGCTGCTAGAGAGGCAAGGGATGCTCCTAGCCTCGAGTTCGGGGGTGCGGCAGCGGCTAGGGGCTTCCCCCGCGCCCTCCTTCCCCGTGCCTCCCTGACCTCGGTCCGGAGGCAGAAGGGCGCCACGGCGAGAGGACAGAGGGGCGAGGGCGGAGCCGGCGGCACTAGCGCTCCGCACTTAGGGCTGGTTCCGAGCTCCCCTGGAGCACAGACCTCGGCGGGAGTACACGCGGGGCCTCCCCGCGAACCTGACCCATGTCCTCATCCTCCTGAGGCGGCCGGCCGGGGACAGTTGCTGGTGACAGCAGGCTGCCACCCTCCCCACGCCCCCCGGGAGCTAGGAGCAGGGCCCGGGATGGGCAGGTAGGAGGAGGACAGGACGAAGGGGGTGTGAGCCAGTGAAGAAGGGAGGATACAAGCGTGTGTGTGTGTGTGTGTGTGTGTGTGTGTGTGTGTGTGTGTGAGCGCGCGCGCGCAACTTCCCGGTCCTGGATGTGTAACTAGTGTGTACCCCTCTGCGTGACTGTGTATATCTTTATCTGCCTTTGTGTGTGTGCCTGCCTCTTTGAGTGCGCCAGAAAGGGTATCTGTGTGCGTGTGTGTCTGTATCTGGCTTTTTTGTCAGAGAAGCTCTATGCGTTTATGTCTCTTTGCATGTGCAGGAGAAGGTATTGCTGTATGTATCTGCCTTTGTGTGCTTTTGGATCTATGTGTGAGAGAAGTTATCTGTGTGTATGTGTGTGAGAGAGACATTATCTGTATATGTCTCTCTGTGAGATCCCATATCTATCTTTGTGTGTATCTGTGACAGTGTGAGTAGTAGCTGACATTTACACAAGGCTTTAAGGTTTGCAAAGTGCTTTACATACATACTCTCATTTGACCATCACTCCAACCCTGGGAGGTAGGTACTACAGGTATTATTGTCCCGATTTTACTCATAAGAAAACTGAGGCTTAGGGAAGTTAAATCACTTACCCATGATCACATAGCTAGTAAAAGGTAGAGGCAGAATTTGAAAGTCTTTTTGACTCCAAATCCAGCCCTCTATCCATTACACCACACATTTATTTACGTATTATGGCTGTTTCTGTAAGTGTACCTCTATATGAGAGTACATGTAAAACACTGTTGTTGTCTTTATGTGTCTCTGTATGAGTGTGTCTTCTCTATGTGGTTATGTTTCTAGGGTGCATGTATGTATCTATGAGTGTGTCTGTGTATGTGTGTCTGTGTGTGAAAATGTGTGATAGCTTCAATTTGGATCAGGGCTATTTTGTCTCTGTCATTCTAAGAAAAAAAAAGTTCTGATCAGGGACTGGGTGAGATGCCAATTCAGACAATGCTGATGAATTGGATTACCTCTTGGCACAAGAACCTTTCTGAGCCAAATTACTCTGTGTGTTTGTGTGTGTGTGTGTGTGTGTGTGTGTGAACATATGTATGTGTTTAGAAAGTGAGGATAGGATGTGATTTTTCTGGGCCATCCTTAGACTGGTGCTAGTAGCGGGTATGTGGGCTTCCCTGTGCCCTGGGAGCCAGACAAGGCTGAAGGCCCAGAGGAAGACACAGTGGCTCCTACAGTTTCCATTTTCCTTTTCTGAATAGATCTCTGTCTGGCACACACTGTACAGAGCAAGTTACTGAAATCAGACCCCACTGGATGCAGCACGAATTTAGAAAGTGTTCTTTTGAAGGGAATACTCTCTATTTGGGGTGTCTAGTCAGCTCACCCAGATATACATGTACAGGGCCTGTAGATAAACACTACTATAAATATGGATGGTTGGTCCTAAGAGTCTAGAATAGAGCTTGGCTTGCAGTCAGGAAACCTGGGTTCGAGCCCAGGCTTTACCAGTAACTCCTGTGACCTTGGGCAAATCATTTCCCCTCTCTAGGCCTTAGTTTCCTAGTCCAATCCCCTCATTTTACAATCTGTAAGTCTAGGAATTTCTGTAGCTTCTTGGCCACCATCCAAACTAAACAGTGTTTATGGGTGCTCCATTAGATTTAAGACAAAGGCAGGATCGAAAGAGGAAATAATAATAATGAAAACATGGTTTACAAAGTAGTTTCCTGATAGTAACCCTGTGAAGTACCTTAGCAGAAATATTTTTTTTTACTAGATTTGTGACTTTATCTGTGGAAGCAGCTACATATGAGCAGCTACTCTGCCAGTATAGATTGGCACCTTTTCTGCAACTCAGATGGTTGCCTGAGGTGGCTGAGAAGTTAAGTAATTTGTCCATGGTCACACGGTATACATCAGAAGTCAAATTTGAACTCAGGTCTTCTTACTCTAAGGCAAGTTTTCTTATAACAACAGGCTCAGTTTCCATATAAGTATTATTATCCCCATAAACAGATGAAGAAGTTGAGACTTTGAGAGATTTACAATGACTCGTGCATGGTCACACACCTAATGCCTGTTTGAGCCCAGAAGCAAACCCATATCTCCCATCTTCAGTGGCCTTTCTATACAGTGAGAAAGGGACTAGGAGGATAAAGGAGGAGGAAGGGAAGATAAGAGAGAAAAACCAGGAACAAAAAGGCATAAAGACTGGGCCATGGTGGAGAAAGAATCATTAAGAATCATCTGGGGTATCTGTTGGTAATCCTAACTAGATTAATGGCATTGGGGTGAAGTGGAAAGACCCATGGATATTGGAGCCAGAGACCATGGGCTTGAATCCTGGGTCTATACCCATGTGACACAAGGCAAGTCATATAACCCTTCATTTAAGCTATTTATCTATAAAATGAGTGTAACTGTGTGGCACAATGTAAAGAATGCTAGATTTGAACTCAGAGAATCTAGGCCTAAAAATTGGTTGTGTTGCTACTTGTGTGATTGTGAGTAAATAACCTCTCAGGGTCTTAGTGTCCTCATCTGTCAAATGAAGGGGTTAGATTAGATATTACTAAGGTCCCTTCTAGCTTTAAATCTATGATCCATTTTGCATGAACTGTCCGTATCACTGTCCTGACACTATTGTGGGGAATGAGCTTTTGTAAAGTGCTACAGAAATGTGACTGTGAGTTCTTGGACTTATAACAGGGAGAGACTTCCTTGTCTCCTCGAGGCTGGACACAACGTAAGTAGACATTTCTTGATGATGATTTGAATTCTAGCTATCTGCCGTGCCATAGAGACCCTTCTTGGGATAGTCAGGCTACTTGGTTTGTGGTCTTATCTCAGCCATTCCCCTGTGGTGTGATTGGCTAGGGATTTTGTCTCCAAATTTGTAAAATGGGTGGTGGTGGTAGTGGTGTGTATATGTATGGGTGTGAGGAGTGGGGTGAGAGGTAGGAGAGAATGCTAAATGTGGTAGACATGTGAAATGCTTAGTATACTTTTTTTCCTGTAACTTCAAGACTTGGTGAATAAAGGATTCCTGAAATGGGTGGGGAGTTGACCTAGGTGACCTGTAATGACCCTTCCAGCTCCAGGATTTGAGGGTCTCATTTGTTTATGCACCATCCTTTTCAATCTCTCACTGTCTCTGTCTCTTCCCCACCTCACCTCACCTCACCCTCTCTTCTGAATGACATTTCAACCAGGAAATACCTGTTTGTATCTGAGTGTAAATCTGTGACTGTGCCTATGTATCCATGTGCATGATAACATCTATGTGCATATTTATGTTCAGATATGTGGACCATCATTCAGATACATGGCTATACTTGAGTATAGCTGTGCCTACAAATGGACATTAGTTGTTGATGTAGGGGAAGAAATGGTGGGGAAGCAGCTTGATGTAGTAGAAGGAGGATTAGTAGGCAAATCCTTTCCCCATGCCTCAGTTTCCTCATCTGTAAAATGGGTATACTAGTACTCCCCCCCCAGCTATTGTAAGAGTTAAATAAGTTAATAAAGTGTTTTGTAAACCTTAATGTGTTAAATCAAGTCCAGCTGCTATTAGCATCAGGTCTCCTCCACTTAAAGGCCTTCAATGCAGGTCCTAATGAGCTGCCAAAATTATTTTAGTCTGATGACAGTCTGTACCTCTTCTGAAGGCCAGCTTGGCTAAGTATATAAGGACAGTCACCTGGTGATGAGTATTCTCAGCCACAACAGCTGAGGAAGACCATCTTCTAAGATGTAGTAGGGTCCTGAGCTGCCCCAGGGGAGTTTGAATGCATCCAGCTGACAACCAATCCACAAAGTATTCTATGTATTTCTGTGTGTTTGTGTATATGTATTTTACTTTGCTGTGTGTGTGTGTGTGTGCATGTATACATGTGTGCATAGAGTATAAGGCTCCCTTCATTTGCTGAGATTTCTTTCTAAGATAGAGACACAACTTTTGCTCCCTTTCCTCTCTGTCCTTGCCTGGTTTGTTCTGTCTTCCAGCCGCTGAGGGGTTAAGAGGGATGAACTGGATAACTACTTTCCAATGGCCTCCTCTTCCTCCCTGGAACTAAGGACCCTTGGCAATGGGCCCAGGGCCCCCAAACAAACACTCTCACAATGGACATCAGCACCAGAAGGCAGGCCCAGCCCCTCAGCTTTACAGAAAGAGGGAATCGAGAATACTTGCTTTTCCGAGGAGGAGGAACAAGAGACCTGTTTCAAGAATCAACAGGAGGCTGTGCCTGGGAGTTCATCCTGTCCACATGGGGATGGCCCCTCACACCCCCATTCCCGGAGGGACGACCTTTCTCCAAGGTCAGAAGAAGGCTTGGGGGCCGACACTGCAGGCCACTCAGTGGACTATGGCTTCATCTTTGCCTTGGTCTTCTTGGTGAGTGGAATCCTGTTGGTGGTGGTAGCCTATGCTATTCCCCGGGAAGCCAGAGTGAATCCAGACACAGTGTCGGCCCGGGAGATGGAGAGATTGGAGATGTATTATGCCCGACTGGGCTCCCACTTGGACAAGTGTATCATTGCTGGCTTGGGCCTCCTCACCCTGGGAGGCATGCTGCTGTCCATCCTACTGATGGTGTCCCTTGTCAAAGGGGAACTCTACCGGAGGAGAAACTTGGCTGTACCCAGGGGCCCTCGGAAAACCTATGGCTCTATAAACTTGAGAATGAGGCAGCTTAATGGGGATGGGGCCCAGGCCCTGGTGGAAAATGAAGTTGTCCAGTTGACAGAGACTCAGCCAATCCAGCCAGACACCTTCACTTCTCTCTCTCCTCCCTCAAGCACGTATGATGATGGCACAGCCTGTGGGTAGTACATTTGCTTCAGGGGTGGGTAAACTGATAGCACAGGTTTGCACATCCTGTCATTGTCTAGACCCCATCTTTACTCCCTTTGGAGAAGATTATTTATGTGGACAACTGGTCCTGGAGTCGCAGGAAAAACAAAGCTTTCAGATTCTGGGTGGGGCCAGAGTATATCCTAAGGTAATGAAAGGTACCATCAACCAGGTTGTGCTAAGGGTCACAATCCAGTCCAATGGTATTTCACTACCAGAATTTCCAAATGGGGTCAGTGATGGAAAGAACTTCAAAGAGGCTAACAGTTACCTGTGCCATATTCTAGGCTCCATCCTCATGGAAAATGATGATTTGTAACCAGCAGTTGCCTATTCCTCTTACCCAACTTCCAAAGTGAGGCAGCCATGATCTCCTGGCCTACCCTTACTGCATAAAAAGCACAGGGTGGTCTTGTTTCAGATCTTAGGGTCTAATTTTCTGCAGTGACATAAGCAGTGATTTCTTAGCAATAGTGACTTCTTAGCAAATATTTCAGGGGCACAGACTTGAGGCAGACCTGAGGAATAAAATTCCCTTTAATACAAGGAGCATGATGTGTTTGGGGGCATTTCATGTGATGAGCAAGTGTTTCTCTTCTTGGCAATGCCCATTATGATTCTAGGAGAAGAAAAGAAAGATAGATATTGAATCTTAAGCCTTCCCTATACCAGCAAAATGCCACCCTAATTTCTTTTAGGGGAAAAAATGTTTTGGCCATCTTTCTAGAATCAATCCGTTCCAGAGTCAATCGCACGTCCATACACTCCACTTTTCACACAGGATTTCTCTCACTCTGCTCCTAGTTCCAGATCCTTTCCACTGCTTTGGGGACAGAATGACTCCAGTACTGAAAGGAACTGGATCTTTGGAAAATGGAAGGAATGTTGAGCTAGAAAGCAAGAGATGAAACTCTTTATGAGCCTCCCTCAAAGGCAGAGAGGACCAGAGAGATGAAAAGCACATTTTGTTTTATTTGTTTATTTTCATTGCATGGATGGCTTAAAGTCAGACTTTCTGGAACTTGAAGAGTCTAGAGATGTCCTCTAGCCCATCCCCAAAGATCTGGAGGAAGCGAAGGTGGTTTAGAAGAGCTAATGAGGGAATGGCTCTGACAGATAAAATATCCATTTCTGTTTCTGGCTTAGCTTGGGGAGCAAGAAATTGTTCACAGAGTCACAGAATATGAGAACTGAAAGAGGGTTTTATGGACCATTTAGTCAAGTTCAGCTGGCTTTGGTTCTGATATGTAAAGGGGGTGTGGTTGACCAAGAACAATGCCTTGGGACAATAACATTTTTTCCAACACATATGGGGTTCCAAATTCTACAATGCTCATGGGGTTCCATGAGTATATCAGCTCCTTCTTAGGTTCAATGAGGATTGGCTGAGTCCCCCAGTTTACAGGAGTTCTCAGAGTTAAGCTACAATAGAACGTGTAGTAATTTTAACCTAGTGTCCTCATAAAGGGATAGAGACCTCTCAATTCAATGATAAAAAATAAAAATAAAAATAATCATACCAACTGTATGAATTTATGTGAAAGACCTCTTTGGGGAATAAACCTGTTAAATCTGGGACCATCAATTCATATCAATTTAGCTGTGATGAAATGTGTTTAGGGGCTGTTTAAAGATTAAATCCAAGTCTTAGCAATCTGCCTTGCATCCTATTGCAAAACTGCTCAAGAGAAAGCATTTAATGGAATTAGGCAGTTACCTCATAAATAATAATATATAATCCCTCACATTTAGTTAGTACTTGACTGTCACAAAGTGTTTTTTACTCTTATCTCATTTTATCCTCATAATCCATCTGTTAATGGGTAGTGTGAGTACTAAGACCTCCATTTTATAGATAAAAGAAATTGAGGCTTAGAAAATGGGAGAGGCTAGAAAACTCTAGAGACTCAGCCCTGTTGTGACTACCCTCCAACTGTTTCTATGATGTGCCTAACCTATTTTGGGTCATCTGCCTGTGGGAGATGGGAGAAGAAGGAGAGGGAGCAACATATCCCCATTGAAACTGTTGGGGAAAGAACCATATTTAAAACTAATTTTTTTTTAAATGGAGAGGACCCCAGAAATCATCTAGTGCAACTCCTTTATTTTTTATAGATTCAGCTCAACTTAAACACACATACACACACACACACACACACACACACACACCCCAACAACATTAAGTGCCTACTATGTTTAAGGCACTGTGCTAGGATCTAGGGATACAAAAACAAATGTGAAATATCATTTTGTATAGAATTCTGGACTTGGAGTCAAGAAGACCTGGCTTCTAATCCTAATTAGAATCTAATTTGACATTCATTAACTATGTGATCAAAGGCAATTCACTTAATCTTTCTGAGCCTCAGTTTCCTTATTTGTAAAACGTGAATAGCTACCAAACAGGCAGGTGAAGATTAAATACATGGAAATTTCCTTTCACACCTTAAAGTATTGTCTAAGCCAGTCATCATCATCATTAGCATCATCATCATCATCATCAATACTACCACCACCACCACCACCACCACCACTAAGTTTTGTAGACTTAGAGAGATTAAATAACTTTCCAATGTCACACAACTAGTGAGTAACTGAGCCTATCTTGAAATTCTGGTCCTCTGACTCCAAGGCCAGTGCTCCTTCAACTCTGCTGTGCAGGGGAATGACCTATTACCAGCAGTTTTCAGAAGGTTAACATGGGAATGGTCCTTCCAGTACAAAGGAAGAATAAGAAACCAGATGACTTTTCACAATCCCTGTGAAAATAAACAAATCCTTGGAGTGATCTCTCCTGAATTTTCTCTGACTGGGCTGTTTCTCTAATATATTAATTCCAGACTTTCCTTCCCTGGCCCAAGCCCCAATCCCAGAGAATTCCTTTTGAATTTTTAACCCATCTCTGCCTGTTGAAATCCCTTCCTTTCTTCTAGGAAAATCGCCCAGGTGAAAGTGATTTTCATTCCTTATCTGTATTTCTCCTAGCACTCTGTCTGGACATCTCTCCTCACTCTTCCTTGTACCATAATTATTTGTGTATTTGTCTCTTTTATTTCCCCAATAAGACTGTAAGCTCCTTGAGAGCAGAGTTTGTCATACCTGTTATAGTAACCTTAGACCCAAGTATAAGGCATTACACCACACCTCCTACCATCCATGTCTTGGATGAGACTGCAAGTTCTTGCTTTTGGCAGAAGCTACTTTGTCCCTGAGACTTCCTTTGTGCAGAGGAAACCAAATTTGTCTGGGTAGGGGGAGGGCAGGGCAGTAGGTAGAGGCTTTTTTTTTTTTTTTATCTGAATTGTCACTTCAAAGGATTTAAGACTGGAAGGAATTTTAGAGATCATGAAATTTAAAGGAAACTAACACCCACAGAGGAAAAGTGACTATCATTCCATAGGCACTAAGCAGCAGAGCCAAAATTCAACTCCAGGACATCTGACTCCAGATCCAGCATTTCTTATTAGTACAAACAGCAGGTGCTTAACAAATGTTTGTGAATTGAGTTACATGCCTCACCCCCACCAGGAAAAGTCCTGGGTTCACCTTGCAATAGCCTCTACCAAACAGCTGTCTGGTATTTGGTGGACCCCTTTTCCAACTCAGTAGATCTTAAAGACTCATGGGAAAGTGAGAACCCAAGAAGCAGAGAGGATTGACTGACATAATTTAGCTTTCCACAACCACTGCTAAACAACCGTCCAGAGCTCTGCAGCTCTGAGCTCGCTCAGTCTCCTCTAAGCGGCCTTATTACCCATTTTCTGAGGACCCAACTCCCTCTGGCCTGTTCTGATTCTGACTCAAGTACCAACACAGTATCCTCTTTAGAAAACGTTCCAAGACAGAAGATTCTCTGCCAGAAAATGCTAGTTTAGTGATAAAGCTCTCTCTTTCTCAGGAAGCCATGGGCCACACTGTTCCCTGAATGTGACCTCAGCATATTGATTTTTTGCTTTAACCCTCACCCCCACCCCTAAGCTTCTTGTCAGGGATGAAGCCACAAGTCCTTGCTTTTGGCAGAAGCTACTATGTCCTTGTGGCTTCCTCTGTTCTCAGAACACAGATGGGGTAAGAGGTTAAAGGCTTTTCTTTTCCTGGGGTTCCTGGCTTCTAATGTTGGCCCTTCGAATCCACCCTTCACGTGCCACCAGATCCATCTTCTGATAACACTGCTTCCGAAAGGTTCCTTTCCTGCTCAAATACCTTCCATAGCTCCCTGCTATCTATGGGATCCAGTCTAAACTCCTCACCTTGGTGTTCAAGGCATCCCACACAATGGCTCTAACCCACCTCTTCAGCCTCATTTCCCACTGTTCCTCCCACCCTCACTATGCTATGCTCCAGTCAAACTATAATTTGAAATCCTTGGAAGATGTTCTACCCTTTCTCATCTATGTGCTCATATCACCCCACTGACTACTAGTGATGGAAGGGACCTTAGAAATTATCTAGTCCAAACCCCTCCCCTTATAGGCAAAACCAAAACAACACAAAAAAACTTTGGCCCAGAGAGAGATGCTATTTGTCCAAGGTCACATAGCTTAGAAACAGCAGTGCCCAGATTCAAACATAGGCCTTTTGGCTTCAAATTCAGTGCTCTTTTCACCACACTGCACTGTACAATAAATAACAATACAGTATTTGGTAAATGCCCTTGTGTAGAATCATAAGGTCATAGGATTTAGGGTCAAAAGGGACTTTGGAATTCAGTTATCCCACTCTAGATTTTACACATGAAGATATTGAGCTCTAGAGAGTGGCTCTTTGTCAAAGATTTATCACTGTAAAGACTGTGGAAATCTGGATCTTTGTTCATTTTACAGATAAGCAAACTGGGACTTAGGGTAATAGCCTTAGGAAAACTCATATAGCTAGTAAATAGCAGAACTGGAATCTGAATCCAAATTCAGTGCTTTTCCCACTATAGATACTGTGTGTTAAGGCTCCATAACTATAAAATGCTACATAAATAAGGC